GTGAAACACAATCACCTCACCTCACCTCACCTCACCTCACCTTACCTCACCTCACCTCACCTCACCTCACCTCACCTCACCTCACCTCACCTCACCTCACCTCACCTCACCTCACCTCACCACCCCACCACCCCACCACCCCACCCCACCTCACCTCACCTCGGACTACAAGCATGAGGTACAGGGCACCTATTCTGCCCTGAATCCCAAGGGGGAGACAAGCATTGGGTACTGGTGCCCTACTTTACCCCATGAATGCCAATGGGATGTATATTTGTGTACATTTAAAGTACACGCATATCAACTTGGCGTGATAATAAAGGCGTGATAATAGATTAAAAGATGGGAGTGGTGGCTACAAGTGTGTGGTGTGGATTGGTAGATGGATGGTGGTCACAGGGGATGGGTAGATGGGATGATGGTCATAGAGGATGGGTGGATGTGATGGTGGTCATAGAAGATGGGTAGATGGATGGTGGTCACAGGGGATGGGTAGATGGAATGATGGTCATAGAGGATGGGTAGATGGATGTGGTCACAGGGGATGGGTAGATGGGATCATGGTCATAGAGGATGGGTGGATGTGATGGTGGTCATAGAAGATGGATAGATGGATGGTGGTCACAGGGGGTGGGTAGATGGATGATGGTCACAGGGGATGGGTAAATGGATGGTGATCATAGAAGATGGGTAGATGGGATGATGGTCATAGAAGAGGGGTAGATGGATGGTGGTCATAGAGGATAGGTAGATGGATGGTGATCACAGGGGATGGGTAGATGGATGGTGGTCATAGAGGATGGGTAGATGGATGGTGGTCACAGGGGATGGGTAAAGGGGATGGTGGTCATAGAGGATGGGTAGATGGATGGTGGTCACAGGGGATGGGTAGATGGATGGTGGTCATAGAGGATGGGTAGATGGATGGTGATCACGGGATGGGTAGATGGATGGTGGTCATAGAGGATGGGTAGATGGATGGTGGTCACAGGGGATGGGCAGATGGGATGGTGGTCATGGAGGATGGGTAGATGGATGGTGGTCATAGAGGATGGTGGTCATTGATGGTGGTCACAGGGGATGGGTAGATGGATGGTGGTCATAGAGGATGGGTAGATGGATGGTGATCACGGGATGGGTAGATGGATGGTGGTCATAGAGGATGGGTAGATGGATGGTGGTCACAGGGGATGGGTAGATGGGATGGTTGTCATAGAGGATGGGTAGATGGATGGTGGTCATAGAAGATGGGTAGATGGATGGTGATCACAGGGGGTGGGTAGATGGATGGTGGTCACAGGGGATGGGTAAATGGATGGTGGTCACAGGGGATGGGTAAATGGATGGTGGTCACAGGGGATGGGTAAATGGATGGTGATCATAGAGGATGGATGGATGGATGGTGGTCACAGGGGATGGGTAGATGGATGGTGGTCATAGAGGATGGGTAGATGGATGGTGATCATGGGATGGGTAGATGGATGGTGGTCATAGAAGATGGGTAGATGGATGGTGGTCACAGGGGATGGGTAGATGGGATGGTTGTCATAGAGGATGGGTAGATGGATGGTGGTCATAGAGGATGGGTAGATGGATGGTGATCACAGGGGGTGGGTAGATGGATGGTGGTCACAGGGGATGGGTAAATGGATGGTGGTCACAGGGGATGGGTAAATGGATGGTGATCATAGAAGATGGATGGATGGATGGTGGTCACAGGGGATGGGTAAATGGATGGTGATCATAGAGGATGGATGGATGGATGGTGGTCACAGGGGATGGGTAGATGTGATGGTGGTCATAGAAGATGGGTAGATGGGATGATGGTCACAGGGGATGGGTAGATGGGTTGATGGTCATAGAAGATGGGTAGATGGGATGATGGTCATAGAAGATGGGTAGATGGATGGTGGTCACAGGGGGTGGGTGGAAGGTAGAGGGTGAGGGTTGACAAGTTAGGAGTCCATGGCGATGGGTGGATGGGATGGAGGGGGGACACAGAGGATGGGTGGATGGGACGGAGTGGGGACACAGACTCGGCAGCTCTGCATGTTAAGCTATATAGTCACTTCTATTGATAATTCCTGACTGGCCCCACTGTCACTAACAGAAACTAAATCTCAGACTCCCTAGATCACTGATAGCAAACCATGCTTTAAATCACTCAGATTTGAAAATTGCTAGAAGCGTGAAAAATAGACAAATCATTGAAAAAGTGCTCTCCATGTTCTCACAACTCCTCAATTCTTATCTAAAAGGATGTTTTATCGGTGAAAGATATGTCAGAATTATTTATGGTCCTCGATGAACACTTTCCTTTTTCACATTGTCGGCCGTCATTTGATTTGAAAATCTCACCAACAAACTTGGCAGTTCTAATCGGTTGAAGGTTAAAAAGTGTAATTGAATTTAGTTTGGGAGAAAAACATGGGAACATGTTCCTTTGACCATTACGAAAGTTTGTAATTTGTTCTCTGCAGGTAATTAATTCTTTTGGCAAAAATCTATATCTTTTGTCATGTCTACTTTAAATGTATTTATAATGAAAACAAGTATTTAGGTATTTTTCCTTCCAGTAGCTTTGACATTTTGATTACCTTTCAAATGTAATTGACATTTTATCTTCCAAACTGAAATTTCCAATAAAAACATGACAAGTTGCCAGATACAATGACACGTCAGCTGGAGTGAGTGTAATATTTAGCCTCATTCAGCAATATGGAAATGTTATCAGGACTGCTGGGACATGATCGAGTCTGGACTCGGCCAACCGATGGTTGATAGCATGAGCAACAATGCCACGTGGGTGTGATGACACCGGGATGAAAATTGTCACCACCTGATCAGCCCATCAACCTACTAGTATGCTTGTTGTAATACGGCTCAAGTGGTCAGGCTCTGTGACTTGGTCGATTATATGTCATCGGAACCCTATTGCATTGATCGAAACACTGATTGTCGGATCAGGACTCAATCATGTACAGACCACTGTCATATAGCTGGAATATTGCTTGGGGCGGCATTAAACAACAAACAAACAACATGTTCTGCAGGTTGGCAGAGTTGGCAGAGTTGGGAGAGTTTGCTAAACTAGGAAGTCAGGCGTGGTGTGGAAAATTGGTCATGCTATCAGTCACTGGTTTGTCTGGTCCAGGCTGGAATAGTGCTGACCAGGGTGATAAACAATATCAACTCACGAGAAAAGGGAATTATGACATCAAATATTGATAGGTTGATATCTTAGCATTCTTACTGCTGAAGAACAGGAACCTACGGAGACAATAACTGTCTCTTACCTTTATTCAACCTAAGATGTTATGATCCTGAAAGACTAATAAGCTCTCTGTTTGATGATATTTGGAAGGTCCGGTGTTGCCACATCCTGGTCCAATGAGAGTCAAGATTCATTTCCAACTTCTTGTGATCATGTCTCTGGTGATTGTGACTCGTGTAGTGACACAATCGGCTTGTCAACGCTCTGTTCGGAGGCGACATGTCTCTGGTGATTGTGCCCGTGTAATGACACAATCGGCTTGTCAACGCTCTGTTCGGAGGCGACATGTCTCTGGTGATTGTGACTCGTGTAGTGACACAATCGGCTTGTCAATGTTCTGTTCGGAGGCGACATGTCTCTGGTGATTGTGACTCGTGTAATGACACAATCGGCTTGTCAACGCTCTGTTCGGAGGCGACATGTCTCAGGTGATTGTGACTCGTGTAATGACACAACCGGCTTGTCAACGCTCTGTTCGGAGGCGACATGTCTCTGGTGATTGTGACTCGTGTAATGACACAATCGGCTCGTCAACACTTTGTTTGGAGGCGACATGTTTCTCTGTGATTCATCCCCTGGGATGATGTTTGGGAGATGCGGAGGAGGGGGTGTCACAGCCGAAACTGGATGTATGACTGACATGTCCAATACAGTTCTAGATCAAAATAAATTTTCTCCCAATTTGTTGAGCATATTTTGAACTTCATAGAGGCAGAACAGCTTCAATGAAATTTGATACCTTGGTCGAGATGAGACAAGACGACATCGCTTTTTAAAAGAATGATAAGCTTTTATTACCCTTGTGTATCTCCGCATCATCAATATCATATATCAAGAAGAAAAACAATAATAATATACTTTTTATTCCTGACATTTACGATATGGAAACAGACTCGGCTAATAATCTTTTTTATGGTTCTCACATTGTCTGACTCAGTCACTGCAGCATAAAACAGACATTACCGTATTCAACGTAATAAGCGCCCCGCTCTAATAAGCACCCACGGCGACATTTGCTAATATATTGCCTAGTGAACAATCCCAATTAGCACCCCTTCTGATTGATCAATGTACACAAGACTTATTGATTCGCGTATAATACGCACTCGTGTGTTATATGCACCCTTAATTATTGGCAATTAAATTCTGGAAAAATATATCTGTCGTACAAAAACACTTCAGGCTGTCAGCATAAACCATGAAATTTATCTTTCAACTCTGTTTTTATCACCAAAATAATATTCTAATAAGAGCCCCTATTTCTAATTTAGAGAGCGCATTGGGCGCTTATTACGTCGAATACGGTAAGTTAAACACGACCTGACATGGGAGTGTTATAAACCAAAATCTTGTAGACCATCAGGTTTGCTTGCCCTTGGGTGATATGGGTAGGATGGATGAGCAAAGGATGTTTAGCAATTGAGACTGCAATATTCCAGCAAAATCAAGGGGGACGGTAAATAACCAACTCAGGTCCAGTCAACCAAGTGGTTGATAGCATGAGCAATGATAGAGGACATCAAGGTGTGATGGTCCACAACTAGCTCACATTGCGACTTCTTCAGTTTAGTAAGTGAGTGAGTGTGGTTTTACGCCCCTTTTAGCAATATTCCAGCAATATTATGGCAAAGACACCAGAAATGGGCTAAACACATCTAGTGAGTGATGTAGAACAAGTAGTTGTAACATTGTATAATATGTTGTAATGTTTTCTGTTTCCTTCCAGTCTGGGAAGCTGCATTTCGGTTACATCTACGGCATCGGCGTGGTGGGCTGCGTGGCCATGTATGCACTGCTCAACCTGATGAGTATGACAGGGGTGACTATCGGCTGCATAATCAGCGTCCTCGGCTACTGCCTCCTCCCCATGGTTATCCTCTCCTTCACCTCCATCGTCATCTCACTGCAGTAAGTCAGCATCACGCACACACATGCACACACACACATGAACACACACAGAGATGCACACACACATGCACACAGCCACACAGAGACATGTATACACACATACACACACACATAGACACGCACACTTGCACACACACACACATGCGCACACACACGTACATAGACATGCCACACACACATGAAAACACACACTCACATTGTGTCATGTCACTGCAGTAAGTCAGCATCACACCCACAGATGCACACACACACATGAACACACACACATGCACACACACAGAGATGCACATGCGCACGCACACATGCACACAGACACACAGAGACATGTATACACACATACACACACACATAGACACGCACACTTGCACACACACGTACATAGACATGCCACACACACATGCACACAAACTCACATGCGAACACACAAAGACACACACACACATTCACACCTTGTGTCATCTCACTGCAGAAACTGACAGACTGTCAACAGACCGAGACACCCTACAGTAGAGACAGACATCACACCCACAGATGCACACACACATGAACACACACACATGCACACACAGAGATACACATGCGCACGCACGCACGCACGCGCACACACACACACACACACACACACACACACACACACACACACACACACACACACACACACACACACATAGACACACACACACACACATGCACTCACACACCAACACACACACACATTCACACCTTGTGTCATCTCACTGCAGAAACTGACAGACTGTCAACAGACCGAGACACCCTACAGTAGAGACAGACATCACACTGTTGAGGTTACATGTGAGACACAGAGAGGTATTTTCTGCCCCTACTGCCTCATGTCCTGCTTACATCTCAGTATAGATGTACAGATACTGTTTCACACTGCCCACAAAACTATGTTACCATGGCAACTGCTTAATGAATATTGTTTCGTTTGACATAAGAGTGATTCTGAAGAAGATGCAGAATAGATGTAGGATTGTAGGCAAACCCCTTCAAGGGGTAGATAATTATTTCCTAACGACACCACTATCTTGTGATGATACCAACTGATGTCACTCTGATCACGTGTGATTGTGGCGTGAGCGTTGTTCATACACAACATGTTGTCGGTGTTATCGGTAACATAAACTTCAAGACAGCTGGAGATTAAAGAATATAAATGATAGGATTTTTAATTTTTTTCTACTTTGTGCTAGAATCCTTTGCTTCCGATGATGAAGTGTATGGGGGTTCAGGGATATGATGATGACCTTGTTCCAGATGGAGTGGTGTCGTCATGACAACCTGAACTTCACAGGTTTCAGTTTTGTGTTTCATAAGACTCTCGGTTGCACTTTGTGGTACTTCAGAAATTATTATCCCCTGCCAGGAAGTAGAAGGGGACATAAGAATGGGTGCTGTCTGCCCGTCCATCTGTCACATTTCATTTCCTGAACAGAACTCAAAAACCATGGGAGATATCTTAACCAAACTTAATACATAGATAGGTCTAGTGGTGAACTGATGCCTTTTGATAGTTTAGGATTTAAAAAAAAAAAAAAATTCTGTTTCCATGGCAATGACTTGGACTTCATTATTCATTATTCATCAAACTGAATCTCAACATTACAAATATTTTTAATTTATACCAAGTCCAGCAAAGCTTTGGCATACATATTTTAGGGTTTAATGCAGAATGGAGAGCAATCCTACCTATATATTGGTAAATGATATCTCATCATGCTGATCACTGGTGTTTTGGGAAACAGTTTTCAAATTATGCTTTTGACACAGCTTGTTGATTGTTATACCTGAATCACTGTTCAAGTGGTATAATACTATTCCCCCTAAGACTGCTGTTAGCCACTCCAGGACAGCTGATGATCCTTCTTCGACAAATTAAAACCAATCAGAACATCATGGCTACCAGATGTTCTGTTGCTGCCCGAGGGAAGAAATATTTTAGAAGCAATTTATTTTTTATCCTGGAGAGTGAAATGTTTCATGTACCATCTGAGCAGCAGCTGCAACATCTGACCCCCCACAGGTCCCCACCGGAGCACTTCCATCCCAACAATGTCATTCTTCTCCCCCAGAATGGCGTATATCTCTTAGCAGGCTATAACTGATTTATCTCCCAATGACTTCCTATGGGAAACATAAACCCATACTTCCTTCTCTAGTCCTGCACCAATGACTGTAGAATTTATATTTTTTAGGTATTTTTTTTTACTAAAAGCCTAGGCAAGTGTAGATCAAACTAACCAAAACAGCAGAAGAGGAAAGGTTCTTTCGAAAAAATCTTTTGATTATTTTAAAGACACGTTATAATTTACTAAGTGTTAGTCTCTTCCTTCTCCAGCCTTGCTCACTTGGGAGGAAACTGATGTAAGGTTTACCATTTCCCAGAAGGTCCTGAGGACTATTGTTATATTTTGTTTGGATAATTAAAACCGTTTTTGACATTTGAGTATTCACTGATATATATTGTGGTTGGCAGCATGCTGTGGTCTGTGGCTCTCTGTTTACTGGCTGGTGTCTCCTGCAGCACCAGCTCCCCACAGAGACATTCAGTGTAGTGTCTCTCAGCAAACAATGTTGTGTTGTGTAACAGAGGTGTAGTGCTGTGTGTTGCTACAATGTTCTGTGATATAAACAATGTTGTGTTGTGTAACAGAGGTGTAGTGCTGTGTGTTGCTACAATGTTCTGTGATATAAACAATGTTGTGTTGTGTAACAGAGGTGTAGTGCTGTGTGTTGCTACAATGTTCTGTGATATAAACAATGTTGTGTTGTGTAACAGAGGTGTAGTGCTGTGTGTTGCTACAATGTTCTGTGATATAAACAATGTTGTGTTGTGTAACAGAGGTGTAGTGCTGTGTGTTGCTACAATGTTCTGTAATATAAACAATGTTATGTTGTGTAACAGATTGATTGCTCTATCTGGACACAATGCTCTGCATTATACTCTAACACAATGTTCTGCATTATACTCTAACACAATGTCGGGTTGTGTAACATATTGAATGCACTATCTGAACACAATATTCTGCATTTTACTCTAACACAATGTTCTGCATTAACCTCGAACACAATGTTGTGTTGTGTAACATATTGAATGCTCTATCTAAATACAATGTTCTGCATTACACTCTAACACAATATTCTGCATTACACTCTAACACAATGTTGTGTTGTGTAACATATTGAATGCACTATCTGAACACAATATTCTGCATTTTACTCTAACACAATGTTCTGCATTATACTCTAACACAATGTTCTGCATTATACTCTAACACAATGTTCTGCATTATACTCTAACACAATGTTGTGTTGTGTAACATATTGAATGCACTATCTGAACACAATGCTCTGCATTATACTCTCACACAATGTTCTGCATTATACTCTAACACAATGTTCTGCATTATACTCTAACACAATGTTCTGCATTATACTCTAACACAATGTTGTGTTGTGTAACATATTGAATGCACGATCTGAACACAATGCTCTGCATTATACTCTAACACAATGTTCTGCATTATACTCTAACACAATGTTCTGCATTATACTCTAAAACAATGTTGTGTTGTGTAAAAGATTGAATGCTCCTTCTGAACACAATGTTCTGCATTATACCATAACACAATGTTGTGTTCTGTTACAGAGGCATCCTGGGTACAGTGCTGACTGTTGTGACCGTGATATGGTGTTGTCTGTCTGCGTCGAAGCTGTTTGTGTCTGCGCTGGCGATGGACCAGCAGCAGCTCCTGGTGGCGTACCCCTGCGCCCTGGTCTACGGGGTCTTCGCCCTCCTCACCGTCTTCTGAACACCATCTACACCAGCAACAACACGACAGGGAATCCCTGCTCTTCTGAACACAACCAACAACACTGAACATGACGAAGACACGTCTGTGACAATTTAACTTGACCTTTTTAAATTTTATATTTATGAGAATTAATTAACTTTTCTTAGACAAGTAATTGCCGCTAAATTTGTACATTAAATGACTTGTCAGACTTCTGGTAAACAGTATCTGTGCAAAACATCCTAAATTCTCTAAAGCGATGGTGACGTGGGATGTTTATATGCTGATTAGTGCTACTTACCTTCGCGAAGATTCAGACCATGGTAGCAACTGTGGCCTCTCAATTTGTGTTTTAGATGAATTGTCAGGCTTCTGCCAGCATCACACAGAGCATGTCTAGTCTGTAGTCAAAAACTCTTCCACAACGTTTACACAGGGGTAGTCTGAATGTTGTCAGAATCATGTCTTGGTATTTTAATAAATATGTTCATCCTTTTGAATGTTAATGCTTTTACTTCAATGAACTTCATATGAATAAATCCTGTGTATGGAATGAGTTGTGTTACTAGCAGTATGAGTATCATCTTGTCGTGCGTTGATCGTGTAGGGCTGATAACGGAGGTCCGTTGGTAGAGGAAGAGGTGGATTGTCCCTGTCAGAAATGCATCAGATAGATGTTTGTCTCTGAACAAGTGTAGACTTAAGTTATCTCACTTTGAACCAACATGGTAACATTCAACAAAAAACAGGCAAGAGAGCCTACACATTATGTTTCTTTCCTTCTCAGCTTTCGGTCTCAAAGTGAAGTTTGGACAATGAATATGCATGAATGTCGCCAAATGTACTGTGCATGATGATACACGTGAACAGAAAGGGAGTTCCCGCCTGTAATATTGGGATTCCACGACATTCCGTAGTAATAAATGCAGTCCACTTAGGTGGGCGTGGCTTGATGTTTTACATTCATTGGGAGATAAATGCAATAACACGTGACCAACTCAGCTAATCAGAATGCAGGAATTACAATGAACACAACAGAAATTTATTAATTTTCTGATGAGAGAGCAAGTTTGTCTATAAATATCCAGTGACCACACCCTTGTCATAATAACCCATGTTAATGGGCGCCACCAAAGTGGTAAAGCTCCAGGACCGGCATCACGCAAGGCTTTTCCGCCAGGATGTTCCTGAAACAACAGTTGATCCTAACTCACTCACTGCTGTGGTCCAGGGATTACTGCCAAAGCTGGTGCCAGTGGACACTTCCTGAGGTGTCTGCCAGGCAATGAGACTGCCTGATCTCCAGTGAGACTCGGGATAAGCCTTACGCCTACAGCAGCACTTAGCTTGCTTTCATCTATGTGCATCATATAACAGATTCGATAAACCATTCCGATAAACTTGGTATCACCATCCGATAAATATGCAAATGAGGTCACTTGGCAAAAACTAGTTTTATTAGGCCCCATTCATTGATATGATGCAGTGTATAAAATTCACCAAAATTTCTGCCACCCACTCCAGACTGGCATCTTTGCAAAGTTACCAGAACATATAAAATGTTGCCTGTCCAGAATTGTCTAGACTACTGGTACCTAACAATAGTAAGAAAAGGGTAAACATAAGAATAGTACTGTTAAATGTCAGTTCTCAGATAAATAACAATATACTGGTGGATTAACTTTAACTCAATGAAATTTTATTCAGCAATAATGTGCTTAACATTTACAGTTAATTACCTCTTACATTGAATTAACAATAGATACATAGGCAATTTAGGGAATATAATAATAACTGACCCTCTGACAGCAAACTAGACTGTCTGGGGCTGTCGGGAAGGCGGGTGTTGTAACACTGTATGATGCCAACTTGCTTGGTAAGTTTTTGGTACCAGTAAGTTTGGATTGGGGTGTTAGTGCTTCAGTAAACAAACATGGCTGTTTATCAGTTGTTGCTATGTGCTAAACTGGGTTGTTCACTCAGCTGTTGTAATCATAAGCACTTCCCAAGTAACTTTATTTAATTAGAATATATCTTGAAACTTGATTATGTTTAAAGACATCATTTGATAATGAAAATATAACCCTAATGTCTTTCCTGATATTATTATAATATACAAAGAATAAACAAGCTCAACGAAGGCTTGCATAATACATTTCATATTCCTAAGTTATTCCTAAGTTAATTGTATTCATTGTACTCCACATGGGTTCAATGTGTGAAGCTCATTGCTGGTGTACTCTCACTCACTCACTCACTCACTCACTCACTCTATTCACTCGCTCACTCACTCACTCACTCACTCACTCACTCTATTCACAAATACTAGCCGTACTAGGTAGCAACACTGAGAATCCTGCAGTACTGACACACAGCATGCCCACATGTGGGAACTGTCCAAGTATATAGCTTGACCAGATGTCCAGTCTGTATGAATTATGCTGTCAGTAGGAGCCAGGCCAGTGTATATGTTCCCTGTATACCGAGCTGGTGCTGCTAGACGCTGGAAGCTGACCCATACTCCAGCCTGTTTGACTTGTCTGTCTGTGGAGACTAGCTGGGTGATGATCCAGCTGTACAAGTAGCTAGTTCCTGTCAAACACACACACCATCACACACACACCATTACTCCAACACACACCGTCACACATACACACACGCCATCACACACACACACACACACACACACACACACACACACACACACACACACACACACACACACACACTGTCACACACACACTGTCACACACACACTGTCACACACCATTACTCCAACACAAACCGTCACACATACACACACGCCATCACACACACACCATTACTCCAACACACACACACACACACACACACACACACACACCATTACACCAACACACACTGTCACACATACACACACGCCATCACACACACACACCATTACGCCAACATACACCGTCACACATACACACACACACCATTACGCCAACACACACCGTCACACATACACACCATTATGCCAACATACACCGTCACACATACACACACGCCATCACACACACACCATTACGCCAACATACACCATCACACATATACACACACGCCATCACACACACACACCATTACGCCAACATACACCGTCACACACAAAATGTAAATGTAAATGTCCACAGTCATGACGACAAATTATTTCAATACATCCTGTCAAATAATGAAGCAGTCAATATCAACTGCATTTGTTTCCACATCTATAATTTCAAACAATAAATACCCCTTTATAATCAACCGTTGACAATTTATGTATAAAAATATGTAATATTGATTATTTTGTTTTTGTATGTGTCTACAGGAATGTAAGATATGTATGTCTGTATATATGTATATATAAATCATAATGTCTTGTCTTTTAAAATTGCATCTGTCCCGTAATGGAACGTTTCTGCAATAAATATTATCTTATCTTATCTTATCATACACACACGCCATCACACACACACACCATTACGCCAACACACACCGTCACACATACACACACGCCATCACACACACACACCATTACGCCAACATACACCATCACACATACACACACGCCATCACACACACACACCATTATGCCAACATACACCGTCACACATACACACACGCCATCACACACACACACCATTACGCCAACATACACTGTCACACATACACACACGCCATCACACACACATACCATTACGCCATCACACACCCTCACACATACACACACGCCATCACACACAAAACAAATTACACACCATCACACAAAACATACACACACCATCATGCACACACACAAAACACACAGACACCATCACACAAAACACAACCACCATCACACACAAAACTGACACACACTCACACACACACACACACACACTTGCACACACACACAGAGCAGCTTACACCAGTCTGATTGTCTAACATCACCAGCACACACAGTGATGAGGAAATGGCCAAACGGCGATTGACCCTCACGGACATAACCCCCCCCCCCCCCCCCCCCCGGATCTACCCCCTCATGGGTGTACTCCCTCCGGATTGTAAACACACATGGTTATTCCAGCAGCGGCCACCTGGCACTCCCACCTGACTACACACTCTCTCACATGTCAGTGTTTGTCAAAATACGGACTTCATTTAGAAAGGCCATAAAGTGAACTTTGATATAATTCTTGAAATTTTTGTTTTGGTCTCTTGGAATTTTTCTTTGACATTTACAGAGGTGTTGTTTTCATGACCTCACAAACATACCAACAGTATGTAAGTAAACCAGTATTTAATAAAATAAATCAGTCTAGGATATTCAAGAACTTAATGGTTTCTAGATGGCTGTACGAGGTCTTGAGTCCGTCTGGCGGTCATTTCTCCGGCTTGGTCAGACATTTTATTTACCTCCTGAGTGGATTTGAGATCTTGATTCTATCTTATTGAGGTCATGAGTAATTGATGAATAAAACTAGATGCTAAAACTTCAAGTTATGGGTGGAGTGTGGGTTAGATGACAGGATTCCACCTTGCTAAGATGGACACTCCTGAGCCGAGATCGTCATTAAGAACATTGCACAGAAGGAGTAATCCCCCTGGCGAGTGTTGAGCTGGCGCCTGTGTTTCCACGATCGTGTGGTAAGTCAGTGTTTATGTGCATGGGTGACGTGTCATGGCTCTTTGCTTAGCTGGGCAGTGTGTGTAGGGTGTGTAATCTATGTGCGAGGCTACATAAAACATGTTCTTGAATCTCATCACTGTTACAGCAGCTGGATAGCCTTGTGGTTAATGTGTTTCTTTGCCATGACAAGGAAGGGTTTGATTCCCACCCACTCACTCACTCACTCACTCACTCACTCACTCACTCACTTCTCACTCACTCACTTCTCACTCACACTCACTCACTCACTCACTCAACACTCACTCACTCACTAAACACTCACTTAGTCAACACTCACTCACTCACTCACTCAACACTCACTCACTCACTCACTTACTCAACACTCACTCACTCAGCAACTATCTTCAGAAAATTGTTGCAGGTTAGACCATTGGACCTCCACATTTTGTTATAATTATATCCACTAATATAATAATATAGCATAGTATAGTATAGAAGTGAAGAATATGAAACCTAAAAACATAGTTTAATGTGACTTTGATAGTATAGAGCAGGTGGCAAGACTTATTCAGGTGACAAGAAAAAACATATTATATCTATTATGTATTTTGAAGATCTTCATGTTCTCACTTTAAAAATATATAATATCATTAAGGCAAACTTTGAGTATTCAGAAAATGTTTGATCACTCAGGGCCTGTAAATATTGAATTCTGGACCAGGCATACCCGGGGGGAATCAAACCTAGTCCTTTAGCATGACTAGCGAACACTTTGACCACCAGGCCAACCCACCTGCCCATAGCCACAAGCAGTGACTACTGTGGAGTTGTACTCAGATACCACAGATTGTATTGTTTTGTAAACCAAAGAGTGAGTGAGTGAATGTTGTTTATCGCCACAGTAAACAACATCCAAGCTCTGTCTCTGTGGCATATATGTGATC